CGGTGTATAGGGCGCAAGCAGATTTTGTACATCAAATTTAGGGTAAGAAAGTGCGTCTTATACACCGAAAATAACGGTATTTGCCAAAATGAAAACTGGATTTTAGAATGGTGATTACATTCATTAATAATCGCATTAAAATAAGATTAAAAATCTTCTGAATAGCCCACTAATAAGTTAGTGTTTACTTGCATCATTTTAATTAACAACATAAACGCGAGAGCAACTCTCAGGTAAATTTCGGGTCACTTAAAAATTTCCTATTTATGCCAAAACTTACTCACCTATTACTACGTTTAGTCTTTCTGCATAAAGAAAAGAAAGACATGAAATGCACTAAATTAAGTGTGTGGGCAAATCTAAGTTTGAAGCAACTTGATATATCAGGATGAAAGAAGCCTACTGTTATAAATTTCATGTCCTGCGAACAAAGCTTGGAAAACCTCCAACATAAGCTACAAGTGGAATAAAACAACCTCGAATTAACTGTAACAAAGAATACTTCTCCAAGTACAGCTTCAGACAACGTAAAATGGCCGACTGTTAGGGAAGTTCCTTCATGTCTCAATGTGCTTTCAAAACTTGCAGTATCTGAGAGCTAGATTGATTGATAAATAAGTTTATATTTAATTCAGAAAACTGATATAACAAATAGGTTTCCCGAGGTGGTCCAATACGATTGTATTTACCAAATGCTGTCGTCTTTGGACAGAGGTGAACTTCTATGTGGACTGAAATAAACGAGTGATTGCGAAAAATAACTTTCTTGAAGAGGTAGTACGGCTAAATATAATGAAAAATGTTTGAAAGTTGGATTTTACTTTTGTTTTATGTATTATTATTATTTTGCACCATTTGCTTAGTACATGAACTTAGGACTAACCTAAATCTTCTAATCCGGACGAACCTCACGAGTTATTATTTGGACGAAAATATCGTTAACAGCGAGGGAACCCAACTGATGGAATCACTACGTTCTAACCATTAAAAGATTTTGTTTTATGGTTTTCCATACTTTTGATTAGAACATATTAAATAATCTATAGTAAATAGTTCTCATATGTCTGGGTAGTTTGCTTTGATCAGAGGTTAATTTAGTCTCATGTTTTACTACAAACATGTATTGAAATCAATCATACGTGGTCAATTGATACTGATTACCATAAATAAACAAAACGAGGGGTTTTGTATAAGGAAGGATGTCGTCTTGACATGACAATACGACTTATTAGAACAAAAACAACTGGCCTCATTCTTTGTTTTTGACATTTAATGAGTAATAACGTTCCATTGGAACTAAAAGACAGCTGGCCCTGTTGATTTTATAGTTACACATTGTTCGTGATATCACCAGTGGTTCCACTCTTGGATTCTTCAAATGGTCAAGCTCAATTGTTAATTAAAAGCACAATTCTATATTTTGGCGGAGGGTTTCGTTAGTAAAAACTAGTTTGGTCGAGCCCAATTCGATTAACATTACTTATAAATTGAAAATACTGAAGCAGGTGATAAAATTAAAAACATTCATCTCGTAGGGATAAAAAAGGAATGAATAGAGTTGAATAAAATATTTCTGGACTTTTAAAAATTGCCGAAAATCTATAACTGTTTCAAAGAGACGTTAAAAGTTTAACATAAAATTGAGAGTCGAAAAACGGATGGGAAACTTGACACCTTTCACTTAGTTTCCTTTGTTTATTTAGAGCAAAGCCATATTGAGCTATCTGCTTTATCCACCGCGGGGAATCAAACCCCGGATTTTAACGTTGTAAGTCCGTAAACTTAATGCTGTCCCACCGGGGGACTTTTCATTGAGTTTACGTCACAGAGAGTTTAATTCTCTATACTTTCTAATTGGATAATGATTTCGTTCATTAGGAACTTTTACAACGTGAAAATAACGCAGTAATAACTGTTGACATATGGAACAAGCCTAATTTTTAATAAGACGCGTGAGGATGAGGAAGCTAAATTTTAACAATTATAATGATCATTAGTTTGCTGAGCTGATTCTCTCTTTAAGTTTGTGAATTTTGTGCTGCTGAAAATGTAGTTATATTTTTGTAGTAAATAATAACACAGCGTATGCTGTTCAAACATTTGAATTACAGTAGGGTCGTGATAATACACAAAACAGGAGTTTTTGTTTTGTTTTTGTTGTTGAGCGCAAAGCTACACAATGGGCTATCTAAGCTCTGCCTACTCTAGGTATCGAAACCCGATTTTTTAGCGTTATAAGCCTTCGGACTTGCCTTTGAGCACCAGGGGCAGTTTTTTACCTGGGTTATGCACTTTTTAAACTATCAAACCACTAAAGATATTATAGAAAATATGCAATATCTTGGTACTAGAATAATTAGGTGTATTATGATGTAGCATTGTTGAGAATCAAGATGAAATAATGCGATTATTTATATATAAATTGACTGCTTGACTAGATTATCCACACATACCGAGAATATTGTTTTTTCTTCATAACATTGTTGCTGAATATTAGATTATTTACTTTCCACAAATTCAATGGATTACAAGTGGTTTGCTGTGTAATGGCCTGCTCTTGGTTTATTTATTGGCATTTCATAAAGCTTTCTTTTTATACCACAAATTTAAAAGAATTCTTAATAAAGTAGATACATAAATATTTGTAAAATGAACTTGTAAATGCTCCTACTTGCAGTGAACATAACCCTAATAAATATATGTATCCCAATGATGCTGTTACACAAGCTGCTAAAAATTCATTGTTTTTACCAAATATCAACCATCTGGTGTTTATAGTTATTACCACCATCAATTACCCCCGTATCCTTAAGGTAGCTGTAGGTTACATGAAGGATTCATCTTGGGTCCCCTCTATACGCAAAATTTTAAGGTTTCAAGGAATACGATTATAATACAAAAGATGCTTTTATTTACTGAATTACTTACATTTTGGTGACCCTGAAAGATATCTGAAATTTAATTAAAATTAATCCCCAACTACACAAGCAAAGTATATTAATTAATGTAAAATAGCTCGAACATTTACTTTTATCACTCAAGAAATTTGCATATTTTCTATTCTACGCGGCTAATAACGATTAAAGGTATTTGTTACATCTGCATTCGAAATTTCAGAGTTACAACGATTTAATTAATAAGTGCAAACGTATTTATGTGCATGGATTTACTTTTAGCGCCCTCTAATACTAAAAATATAAACAAGAAGCTTTAACAATGTAAACTTAACAAAGGATAACACTGATATGGTTTAGTTAGCACAGTGTTGATCTAGCAGTATTGAAACTTAGTACACTTTGTCTGTCGACAGAGTGACAAACTATACTTCAGTCTCCAGCAACGTTCGATAATGTAGTCGGATTTATCCATAAAACTTCACAATAGCTATTTATCCACAGTTTGTTACTACAGCGTCGCCTGGTAAACTTTACTAACTGGTTCTCAAATTGGTACTATGATGCGCAATTTTAACCTAAAATCTGAAAGCAATTTAAGAAAATACTCTTAAAAGTTACGAACGCAAAAACTAAAAAAAAAAAATGTAGAAATGCGATTGTTTCTCTACATTTCCTTCAGAAAATATGAACAACTATCAAAAGTGATGCCAATAAAAATACGTTTCTCAATCTGTTTAAGATGTTATTTTAACATATGAAACTGGTCCCTTCTCATAGTTGTTGCACTACCGAGTTTAATTGTAGGACTTACTATTTGAAACATTAACACAGTTTTACAACTCTATAAAATTTGTTTCCCACAGTGTACTGTTAAAAACAAAAAAAATCTAATACGTAAAAGGGTATACTGTAATACACTCTTGTGTTTTTGATTATAACTGAACTACAGGTAAAATTTCAACATATAAATACAATCATTTGTTATCTCTTTATTGCTAGAGTTGGGTGAGATTCATACGGTAACAAGGGATGAAATTAGTTTGCTAAAAGTACGAAAATCCGAAGAAAAAAAAAGTTGTCTGCTGAGAACAAATATTTATCCTGACATAATTTAAGTACATTCAGCTAATGACTTCTTTTGTAAATCCATCTACTGATTGTCTGACTAAATTTACTGTAGGAACTTTGGTCTGAAAATTTCGAGTAAAGTACTTTTTGCAATTTATTATCTAAGTCTAACTGATAAATGCTCAAGTATATTTTAAGGTAGTTTTAAGCTAAGATAGCTTGGCAATAAAAATAAAATTACGGTAATTCTCCAAGCAATCGCAGTATTAAATAAAAATGGTAATTAGCAATGTAAATTTGTATGACATAAATCCTGTCACGTGACCAGTGGGTTAAATAATTTCAGAACTTTCTCTGGCGTTTTTAACACCACTCTATTAGACTATCATTTCTTAATATCAAACAAATAAAATTACTCCATAAACACACTTGTCGAAGCATTTCCCTCACAAAAATAAAGGTTCTTCCTTACAAAGTAGTACTTTTTTTAGCGTTAGTTATCCATTGATAACAATCCTTTAATATACACATATTCCGTATAACTCAGGTTTTTTTTTTCAAATTAATTTTGTGTTCTAAGATGGGTACACTTTATTGTTCATACCAGTGTAAAGGATGGACTGGTGTAGAGGTAAGGCAGTTAATATTCATAGTGCACAGTTACTACAGAGAATATACGTAGCCTTTACATCTACCAATGATATGTTAATCAAAAGAATTTTTTTCATCTGACAGTCTCTAACCACTATCATTTTCCGGCGATATATCAGCAATATTAAAAGCTACATTGTTTTTATTATATAGATTAACTGAAAGAAAGTCAAGAGTGTACACGTCAAAACTCGCACAACTAATCATTGTAGTATGACGTCCTTCACAAACAATAAGCTGGCAAAGTTCTTAAACGTTTGGTGCTAAATATAGAAAGAAGTGGAAAGGAGTTAGACATTATGAGAAATAGAAGATAGTTTAGAAATATGGACTTGTTTGAATTAAATCACAGCTTATTTCGGTAAGTACGATTCGATCAGTTCTTTCAAACTTTCCTTTCTCACCACCATGGGAAAAAGGGCAGTATACTTCAGAATTAAACACACACAAACTCTTTTTGTTCCCAAACGAAGCCTGGTTGACTTAATATATCTTTAGAGCAGTCAGAGCACAGTTTGGACTAGAGACTTTCAATAAGTCAGCTCATACTAAAATTGTACGGTTTGTAACCACAACATGACACCCCAAAAAACTTTTTGTTGACCACAGTCCACTTTCCATCTATCTATTTTCAAAATAGTTTACAATCTCTATTTTGTCCATATCACTCAGAAGAATTCTTAAATCAGTTACATTGAAAATTAGTCATTAAATGTTTAACTTATCACAATTTTCTTTTGGATAAATACAAATTAATCTTAGATTTATATATCTTTGAATTTTGTTCAACTCCCTGAGAACATAGCAAAAAATACTGTAAAATAAGTGGTTATGATCCTTTTGTAGCAACTGAATAAAAACCGAAATATTCACCACTCCAGTCACACAAACGTAGATCACGAGTTCCTTGTGCACGCCAGTAAAACACAAGTTTAAATTTTCTATTTCATTTATTCTCGCATCAACTGAACCATCTTGATTTTAATGATGATTTCCAAGTATTATCACAGCTTTAAAATTACAAATTAGATGCGAATGGATAAAATAAATAGTTTTGCTTTCTCTTCAGCAACTGATAAGACATGTTACTCATGATGGGATTGTTTATTTGCTCAAAAATTACTTGTTATCATTAGCTGTCTTGATCTGTCGAAATGTATTCCAACACATTGAACTCAGCGACTGGGTAGCGCAGTTACATAACTTCTATTCGTTACTTGCCAGTCACACATTTGCTTTACTGGGTGAGTATTATATCTTTTTTGCAACAGTCTCATACACTATGTTAAAGCTATGATTCCTCTGAGGGTAACGTTGACAAGAATCGTTTTAGTATTTCTTGCACTATTTTCTTCAGCACCATGATATGACCAATGTATGAATACACACAACGTTGGCCGAACACTCGATCTGACTACGTCTTTAGTTAAGAAACATTATCGGCGTCCTCCACACAAGAACTTGGAAAACAGATTCTTTTTGGTGGTAATTCTTCTTCTCCTGGAGCCATGAGTATTTTTTGTCAGAATATATACACACAGTAGCTTGATCATCAGAAATCTCGTCTGCTAATACTTTGGACCGGTAAAAAAATAGATCAGATTCTAAACAAACTTTACATATTTACACATCTGATATTTTAGAGTCCTTTCCTTGCGCTTGCACCACTGATGATCGTCCAGTATCCTCCTTGGAGCTACAAACATCACTAGAGATTTTGGGGTCTTTTTTTTCAGGGGAAGATAAAGCACCACCATAGGGAGTTAACGAGCAGACTTCTTGATTTGCGAGTTGAATATCACTGTGACTTCTCGAACTTTGAAATGATTGAATGGCGTTTGTTTGCTGTTCGAAAACGGGAAAGAGATATTTAATACAAGAAAATGTACTTTATATGTTTAATTTGATTGCCAATGGAAAAGTATTAATTATGATTTTAAGGGCCCACACCTTAGCTGATTTTGAAGACGGTACATTACTTTTAAAATTTATTAGCTCTAGTTCTATTCAATTACTTCATAGTTTTAAGTAATCAGATGATTCGTTGACCTACATGATAATAAATACCAATATACAGTAATATGTTGCAATTATCTTAAGCAATTGTTTTAATCGTTTAAGTAATTAAAGAAATCAATAAATATTTTGGTATTTTTAAATTTCTGATTATCAACTTCAAACACAAATGAAAACAATTGCTAAAACATTAATTCGAACATAGCGCAAAGAGAAAATTTTATTTGCGTGACACATTTATTTTTGTCTTACCAATAGCGAATCATAACAAAACCACTTTTTGTCAGTCCCGATCACGGATTTTATTTGCGTGACACATTTATTTTTGTCTTACCAATAGCGAATCATAACAAAACCACTTTTTGTCAGTCCCGATCACGGATTTTATTTGCGTGACACATTTATTTTTGTCCTTACCAATAGCGAATCATAACAAAACCACTTTTTGTCAGTCCCGATCACGGATTAGAAAATAACACCTGTGTACATTAAATTTGAACCAGGTGATTACCTTAATGTTAAATAGATCTCACAAAGCTACCTACACCTTCTAAAAGGTAACTTATTTATACGATTTCATTTCATCACAAGATTTCCAGTGATGACTTAATAACTTTCTTACAGATAAACAGTTTGTAAACATGTAAAGTTTATCACGTTTCAAAAATAAGCCCATTAATTCTCCCAATATCGTACAAAAGTGGAAATAAATATAAAACAAAAACACAAAGTAAAACAACATTCTGCAACAAGATCATGCTTTCTAGGAGAAAAAAGCTGCAAGCAAAGCAAAGTCAGAAATATCATAAGAAATAATTTACTACTGGTAGTACATCTTTTGTTAAACGTAGATAAATATTATCGAACTTGAAAAATAAATAAAATATATAATAATAATAAAAAATAAAGATGAAAAAAAATTATCACAGTATTATCCAACGAAAAACATTGACTGAAAACATAAATTATTTGCTCTTTCTCCACTAACATGTTGGCAACGAAAGCATCAAATGAACGGTTCGTTTTGTTTTCTAGAGAAATATGAAATTCCAGTTTTTCATAAACTTATTTGTTAGATATTTGAAGCTTTATAGAGTAGTAAAATGTGGTTTATCATCAAAATCTACAAAAGATGTCAGTCCATTTCAAGTATTACAACATCAAAAGAAACAAACCTATGTGCCAAGTAAATATAAAACTTCCAATTGGAAATTTTATTGAAATTTAAAACTAAATATTAAGTAGAAAAAAATTTTGAACACCCTTATTGTTGTCAAATCATTCAAGATCGTTATAATTTTAAAGCTTGACAATAATTCAGTTAGCATTTTATATCATAAAGTTTATAAGGCCTGGCAAGTTTTTAGAATACACATGCCAACATTGTAGCTTTGAAGCACCAAAAGTAAACTAAAAAACCAAACAGCGCATGCACCAACAAAAATGGCAAGCCAAAATATTTTTTTAGTTGAAAAACTCCATTTAACCTGGTCTATGTCGGCAAGCTGGGTTTGGGTCCGTAATGTGCTCTGATCTGTTCCATTCATAGGAGCTGCTGCTGTAACACACACTTCAAGACAGTCGTCTTTTAATTCATCAATACAGGTTATCTGTGGTTCATCCTCCAATAACGGTTCTTCAAGTGACCTGTGTGAGAAGGGTTACAAATTCGAACTTATTCGCATAACAAGCAGAAGTTGATGTTTTTAATAGAAATACTTATGTTTAATAGAGCAGAAGAAAACTTGTATTAAAAAACATACAAGTACTTGACAGTGTTGCAAGGAAAATCGTATACATGTATAACAATATATTCAATGTGACGTTTTGTTTTGGTATGCACCTGTTCATACTGTCAGCACTTACGTTGTAATATGATAAATGTTGAAAGACAGTCAAACTGGATTGGAATTGTAATCACATAACTACATTTCGTCATTATATTTAACGACAATGATATAAACCTAATAGCTATACCAATCTTGACGGCATTTCTCGACAGCATTGGATTCGTTAAGGACCTCCTGGGACAGATGGATAATTATTACCTATAATATCTACTTGGCGTCTGATTATTCATGGAAAAACATGCAATATATTTCTAGACAACAGGGGTAAAATTATTGCTATGATCACCATTAGGAAAATAATGAAAACACATTCAAATATTGAATTTATATTTAGAGAAAAATATATTTGTAAAACGTAATAGATGTTAATTAAGCTTATAAAACATAAACATGGTATGAGAATAGTGTTCTTAGCCCACTTAATGTAGCCCTTCCCGAAAGGTTACTTGCATATAGTTTCTGTCAACTATAATTGGAGCGATTACATCAACTCCAGTAGAATTTGGTATCAGTGTTCGTAACATTCTGCTATCCGAATTTCAATATGAAATGTATTTTTAACTGGAGTTTTTTTTTCTTCAAATATTGACATAGGCACATAACGTAAGTAATGTGTGTGTGCATATTAATACATATGATTGAAATTTTCTATTCCACTTCGTATTCTATTAATTATACATAAAAACAAAGCTTGGTATTTTTGGGATTTGATTAAACACATGATCTCTCCCTCAACCAAAGGTGGGAGTTATAAGCAGTCAAAAGACAAGAATCCGAAGTAGCAGCACCACTTTATCAGAAACTGTCACACACATGAATTGAATATATCTTCTCAAATCAAATTATGCTACCTTTCTTCCTTGTCTGCTTAAGGAAATTTTTTTCTTTGACTTATGATGTGGCAAAAGGCTACTATAACTATTACTACTGTCCTTGTTAGCACCAAAAGGTTACTATAACTATTACTACTGTCCTTGTTAACAACAAAACTATTTTTGAGTGACGCCACAGCATTTTTTGGCTTAATAGATGGATTATCCTCAACAAGGGTTGACAAAAAGTCCATCGTGATCACATTCAAGGTTGCAAGTAGAACATCTCAAACCTTGTGCATGCAACTGACATGCCAAAGTATAGCAAGGTTCCAGTCTCGGTCAGCTGGGCTTGGAGCTATCTGATGAAGATCTACTATGCTCTGGTTTGAAAAACAGATGCAACGATTGGCAAAGAAGAATAAGAAGACTCGTGTAGCAAACCCATCGGGTACACAACAAGGAATACTGTAATACATTATGGTTTTCTGCTGTTGATGTGGCAAGTAATAACTCGATTAAAGTTTGTCCGATTTGGGAACTGTAAATTCCAATCGTCATATCTGATCGTATGCTACATTCTATAAAGACCTCACTAAAATCGGATAAAACCCTTATATTTTTACGTCCGATCCCTGCCATCGATGCACCTTTGCCTGAAGGAGAGATCCTGTGTTAGCTAAATTTAAACAAAACAGGTATACTCTTGAATATTTTCTGTGATTTTGTAAAGAGAGAGTTAAAATTATTGTGCATATTGTGACGTGCTTTGGGTGATTTACTTACTCAAAAGAAAGTAGAAATGTCCTTAACTCCTATAATTATCATTCTATTGGGTACTAAGTTTTGTAAAATGCTACTAGACGATGATGTTTTTTATTTATAGATGAATGTGTAATAGGAAAACCCCATATGACTAAATTTGTTATTCACCCAATACATTATTTTATTAGTTGGGAGAATTTATAATCCAGTTTAACGTCACATCTCTGTGTAGTTTTATAATGGTGATAGTTTTGTGTACCTCTGTTCTTTGTATAAATTGTTCATAAAAATTGTTACAATGTATCAAATTTTGTTTACACATTTAAAAATATTATCTCAGCTTCATTTGGCAACTTTCTACCGAGGAGGTTTGATTTCATAAGATCTTTAGACCAATTAATAACAATTTCATTGATTTGAACGGACAAACTAAGTTCCTTTAACAAAAGGAACGAGTTGTATGAAACTATTGATTCTGACTCAACCCTTGTGTAGCTCATTTTACGAATTTAGTTTCTGTGTATAACAATAAGCCTTACCACTGTAATACGTTCTGCTGTGAAGTTTCAGTTCATTGCAGCCATCGATTCTAAATTGGTTTAAAATATTTTACATCTTACCTTCTGAAAGTGATTTGCTATTTAGTTTCTAGTGCAATTACAAATTCTCTCTTTGCTAATCTAGTATGTATATATTCTATGTTCAGCCTTTATTGAATATAATATGTTTATATATATAACATAAGACGATCAAAGTAATATTAGTAAATAAATTGAAAAAAGAAAAGTTAAAAGTCGGCTAACCTCCCTAGATCCAAGCTATGAGAAGATGGCTTAAGCCTTTTTTCCTCTGCAGGTGAAGGGGTGTGTAAACTGATGGCTCTTCTATAAGGTCTACATCTTACCCTATCTAGACGACTTTGTAATAAACTTGGTCGAAACTGCGAGTGAGAGGGCACCACCTCGGCAACAGGCCGAACAGCATCGCCCTCTACTGATAATGAAGAGGAAGGAAGGTTGTCAGGCTGGACAAGCTTTGACAACATGTGCATTATTGTCTGTAAATCGGTAGTAACACGTGTCTCAAGAGTTTGGACCTTCCTATGTTAAAAATATAATGCAAATGTTTCATCATTTTCAAGGCGTATTTCATAAATTTACAACATCACAATAATAAGTATAGCACAAATCATACAGAGTAACTTACATTAGCTTGTAAAGTTATAAGATTCCTTATAATTTTTATAATTATATGGAACATCACAACAACTATAAACGATCATTATGCCAATTTCATTGGAATCACATGCCTAACTGTTATCCACAATCAAATTTCGTATCATGGAAAGGGACAGTAAGAAATGCTCTCCTTTTTTCTCACAGATTAATTATTTTTAATGTCAGTAACTCCCACCAACAAGACTTTGGTTGATTTGAATAGAAATGGTCCAACACCAAAATTCTCAGCAGTATGAATGAATATTTCTCCATTTTTGTAAATGAATTTTCCTAAATATAAACATACTTTATGGCCGTTTCACTAAAAGGATTGTTCTGACTTACATTATTTATATGAGTTAGGAAAACACAATACTATGTTTTTGGTATAAAATATTATTATAAAAATAAACACATTGGTTTTCAGTGCTTCCAACTGTTGCTGTTTAACGCCTTAAATTTAGACAACAGATTGGAAACTACCCGAAAACTGTCAAGTCCTATGCACAAAAAACAACAACAAAACAGGCTTTGCAGTGGATCTATAAATGATAGCCAACAATATGGAGCAGTGACAGTGGGTGCCGTCCCACTTAAGGTTTTGGTTTGGTTTGTTGTGAATTCCTAGCAAAGCTACACGAGGGCTATCTGCGCTAGCCGTCCCTAATTTAGCAGTGCAAGACTAGGGGGAAGGCAGCTAGTCATCACCACCCACCGCCAACTCTTGAACTACTCTTTTACCAACGAATAGTGGGATTGACCGTCACGTTATAACGCCCCCACGGCTGAAAGGGCGAGCATGTTTGGTGTGACGGGGATTCAAACCCGCGACCCTCAGATTCGAGTCGAGCGCCCTAACCACCTGGCCATGCAGGCACCCCTCAAGGTAAGTTTAAAAAATAAGTTACCTATAAAAAAATTCAATTATAAATTTTTCCTTCCTAATTTAAATAAAAAAAAATACATATAAAAATTAAGTAAACAAAATAGCAATTGTTCATTCAGTTATATGAAAGATATAATCTTTGGTTTGCTGAAGTAAGCAAATAAATTGTTTTAACTTTCTGTGTAAATTGTACATTTTAATTTAGACTAGAATTAACTAAAAAAACTGCTACCCATAAGCTCTCAACTGACTTACGTAAAATGTACACAAACAGTTTCACTTTTAGTGCTAAAAATAGTGAGATACGAGACAAGGTTGGCGGTTTTTATTGATTTTTCCTCTTTGATTGTTTATTTAGATATATTTTCCTATTTTAATTTATTGCAAATCGTTTTCAACGTTCCTTTACAAATATTTTATGATTCAGTCTGTAGAAAGAACTATTTCTTCGCAATATAGTGATGTCAGTCTGATTGTATGAAGTGTTGAACCTTAGCATTTTGTCTCGGCTTCTTGAGTTTAATTTACCATTATAGCTGCACCTCAAAACCACCATAAAGACCTTGGAAAAACTTTCACGACATGCTCTGTACCATATTTCAAATATTGTATCACCCGTAGCCTGATAATAAATCAACTAGACTTTGTTGTAGATAATACTTTTGTCACATTCTGTATACTGATCTTACGGCTTCCAACTGTTGGTCTTCCGGCTATATGCATAGGGAGGAGCTTGTGAACGCGGCTCTTCTGTCGCTTTAATGGACCTAAATCTGCATGTACAATCTTGTTTATAGTTCAAAAGGGTGTTCTTACTGTATTTGCAACAAATTATATTATTGTGTTCTATAACAAGTCGGTGAGAGACTGGTATAGGTGATTTTATAATCGAAGAATAGATCTTCGTATTCGAAAGTGCTGTAAAATAACCTTCGCAAAAGAGGTCAGTTTAGGTGTATCGGCAAATCATCACATTTTTTTTTAAACACACAACTACACAATGGGCTATCTGTGCTGTGCCCACTACAAGTATCGAAGCTCGGTTTTTAGCGTTATAAGCCTTCAGACTTACCGCTGTACCACTGGAGAGCACATATCATCACACTACAAGTGAATTGCAACAGGAAATTCTGGGCGTTTACTGTGTGGTTATAGACCACAGAGGGTGGACAGGGGAAAGGAGATTGGATGTGCAAACTGTTATGCCAGCGATCGCGAACAATCCTATGTATGATGACCATCAAATTTTAACTTAAGTCGTGTAAAATATTTACGAATAACTATAACTTATTTCTTACTTAACAAATATTATCATGATTACGTTTTTAAAATGTGGTGTATTATAAAATATTAAACAGATATGAGACCGCTCGCTATGCATGATAGTAAAGGAAGCGAAACGCCATCAATGATCTGGTGACGTCTGAAGGCTAGTAGAAAAACGTTATCTGAATAACACTTCATTAGCGAGACCAGGTTGATATAAAACATTTAAACCATATTTTCCCAATTGAATTAAACTCATACAAACATACGTTAAACACTGGACTAGTACGGGAGTCTTTCGCAAAGCCACAATGGGCAATATAACGTACTTTCACGTACTAAATGTAATTGATTTTTGATGAGTTTAATGTTTAATTGTCATAAAGGTTGTAGGCATTACAACATTTTTTTAAAACTTAACATCGTCTTTATAAGGAGAAATAAGAGGAGAGAATCCAGCTGTTGTTCACCTTACAGTTTGTATACTGTAATCATTGTGTATAATATTGTCACTCTACACATGGCAAGTAGACGGTATTAGACAAAACCGATATACTATCTCTAACTTAAGAATGACAATGGGAGAATCAGATCGATATCAGAGTTAAGAGTTATGGTAAATCTTCTTCACGCAGAGTATTTTCCTGGAGCTTCTACCACGTGCAAATATTAGTAAGACGGTCAGAAACGCCGCCCTGCTGGAGGCTGTTTGTGCTAATATCCATACGTCATTGAAAAAAATTTTTTTAAAGTGACAATTTAAAAAAAAAAAAGATGTTTCTGGGAAGTGCTGCATGGGATTGTGCTAATATAAACTGTAATGTTTTTATATATTAAAAGTGGTACTCTTTATTTAAAAAAATAGTTTTTTAATAACTCTATTTCTTTAGTACTGTATTTACAAATTATATCAATAAAGATATAATCAAACCTTCACGTACAGTCCAAGTGAAAGTCGCGTTCTTGTTGTGAGGAGAGTACTTATATTCAAAATTGTGTTCTATTATAAAGAAATGGTTGCTGCTTATACCGTACTTATGTTTCTAATGGTCTGAATCTTGAATACCCACAGTGTGAAATAGTTTTATAGATTTTTGTTTGTGATGCCATTCAATAGATGGCGCAAATGGTATATATATTATTTCGGATAGACGCATATATACCCGCTACATCCATTATAGCAAGATTACGGTACGGTAGTATGAGGGAAAAGTTGTAGACGAACTTAAAACACGGAAGAGGATATTTCTGTTTGTTTTTAAACACAAAGCTACACAATGAGCTATCTGTGCTCTGTCCGCCATGAGTATCGAAACCATTATTTTTAGCGTTATAAGCCCTTAGATTTACTTCTGATTCACCGGGTGCCAAATGATTTATTATGTGTTGTCTGTTATACCTTAAAAGGGGTTGAAATATAATTTACACAAGGAAAAAATGATAAAATAATTAGGCAGTACTACTTAACAAAGCCACGTATATCATAATAAAGTATAGGTAAAATGTTTACGACTTTCGTAGTGATTCATTTATATAGATTAAACTTGGACACTTCTACATACAAAAGTTATTTGGATGAAGTATTCGTAATTGTAGAAAAATAGTTAAATGTATGGACAGTATGTTTAGATATCTCGAAAATGGTCAGACTTTCAAGAATTAAGCCTAAATAATTAGTAATTTTTTGACACAATAGATTAAGCTTATTTCAAATCCGTCAAAAACAGCCGAGCTCTGTGATAAGAAAACAAACAAATATGGTGGTCTTGGGTTGGACAGTTTGAACACATCTTGTTGGTTGCACTTTGAAACCGTGTGCCACAATATTGAAATATGTTTCAACACACAACGACTACCGGTTATGGAAACGATACCCTAAATAATATTGCAGAAAGTCCAGAAAAATAAATTAAAAAACAAGCTTTAATAAACAATTGATTTGGCATTTAATCCCGATGAAAAGGATTTGTCCAGATTTCAAATGACAAATATACAAAATTTGTTCTTTCTGTGTTGTAAAGAAATACAGCTTTGGTTTTGGTTTGATTTGAATTTCGCGCAAAGCTACTCGAGGTCTATCTGCGCTAGCCGTCCCTAATTTAGCAGTGATAGACTAGACGGAAGGCAGCTAGTCCACACCACCCACCACCAACTCTTTTACCAACGACTAGTGGATTGACTGTTACATTATAACGCCCCCACAGCTGAAAGGGTGAGCATGTTTAGTATGACGGAGATTCGAACTCGACACCTGAAGATTACGAGTCGAATGCTGCAACCATAAGGTCATTCTAGACCACAAATACATTCAGACGGAGTTACAGTGTGGAATGGCTCATTCAGTTATCAATGATAAACGTCTACCTATTGGCTGTGAGACGTTTGTTTGCTGTTAAGCACAAGAGCAGACAATGTGTTATCTGTGCTCTACCTACCGTAGGTATCAAAACCTGATTTACTTAACGTGTGTGAAAATGTGCGAGTCCAAGCTAACATATAAAAATAAAAATTGAAACCACTTATCATAAATAGTTTATTTGGATAAAAGAATTGAAAGTATATTTTTGCTTTCTTTATTTGGAATTTTCACATTTACTTAAGAGCAGCATGAGTAGATGGGTGAGCACATACATTTTTATTTCATCTTACTTGACACTTACCTTGATAAACTATCCAACTTTAAAAAAATCTCTTCCAAGTTATCTTCATACCAGATGTATTCAACAGCTGA